GGGGGTGTTGTGGGGACATTTATTTGGATTTTTGCCTTCTGGCTTTCAGGTTCTTTTGGTGGTCTTACTCCAACTCCCACTCACTGATGTATCTGCTGCTTCTCCATAGGTCACACTTAGACACCGAAACCACAGAAACCTCCTGCTGCTGTCACCGAGAGGAGCTTGTAAAAACCTGGGAGCTGTCTGCAGGGGCAAAGGATCATCTAAATACTCCACCAATAACCACGTCATGACTTTCGGGCCATGCCGCGCCCACCCAACAGCTGACATAACCTCTCCATATGTGGGCAACCCAACATGAGCCACTGCCCGAACTGGACTCTGGACTTCTCTGCCAGGTTTCTCAGTGAGTCCTAAAAGCAGCCCAGGTTAGGTCCCGAGGAGTCATCGAGGAGTTGAGTTGCTGAATCAGCTGATTGAAGAGTGGAGGAGCTTTCCTGCATCATATGTTGGAAATACACATTCTTAAAAACAACCTTTGCACATGTGGGAGCAATAAGAGCATCAATCTATCACCTTCACAGGTTCTTCACAGTGAAGAGATCCAGCCTGCTGTGGAGGAGCATTGCTGCTGCTGAAGCAACAAGCAACTTTTGATGGGAAGAGAGCTCAGCCCAGCAGGCAGGTCAGCTGTTTACATGCTTCTCTCTAAGCATGCTCAACTTGCTGAACTGATACCCACATGGAGGACAGAATATGTGACTGAAAGCTGACAGCAGGACGGATAGAGACGGTAAACCTCGGAAAACTGGCAGAACAACCTCGGGATGAGTTCTCTCCGGCCACCGTGTGAGAATTAAATATGCCACTGGTGCACTAACAAAGGATCTCAGTTCAACCTTCAGGTGTTAGCACCTTTCCTCGAGATTACCAAACCGTCCCACCCGCATCGCTGTTTGTTTCATCCAGATGGTTTGAGGTCTGGATTCTGGGAATACCTTTAGCTTGGAGCCCCTTCTGGGGATTTTAAAGGTTGCCTGGCATTTACATGTAAACAGCCAAGTGACTTCAATGTGAGTCACTGTGATTCTTACACCTGCTTCAGAGGTTTTCCTCTGTATTTCTATATTTCCTGTATATTTCGGACTATAAGGCACTTAAAATTCTTTAATTTTCTCAAAAATCGACAGTGCGCCTTATGTATGAATTCTGGTTGAGCTTACTGACCTCAAACCGATTTTTTGTGGTACACGACACTCAAAAATCTGCTTCAACATAATATTATGGTGTGATTATAAGGACCCCAAAATGGCACCTTTTAAGAGACATGCTTACGGGCCGAAATCGCCCACCTGTCAAACTCAAGACACTGAAGATCGAGAATTTGATGGATTTCTGGACGAAGAATGAACTGAAAAAGTGAGTGTTTTGTTCTGTATTTTATGTGTTACAACTGAACAATGTTGAGAGTTATCGTATATGAGTTGATTAAAGTTTGAATTATGTAACAGTTTTGTTTTGCTTAATGCACCTTATAATCCGGTGCGCCTTCTGTAACAAAATAGACCCGTTCATTGATATTGTGCCTTATAATCCGGTACGCCGTATAGTCCAAAAACTACGGTACATTATCAGTTGTAATCACACATAAATAAATCCAGGACCAGGACAAGAGTGGGAGAAGATCGACACAAGGACCCTCTGGCTGTTTGCTGACCACTGTTTCATTATCAGCTCATTTTAAAAAAAGACCTGATCTCCTCTTTAAAGGCTGAAACTGAAGTCCACATGAAGAGGTGGTTGCATGAATCTTATCTGGACCAAAGCTTCACTTTGTTCACTTTACTGTTTCACCATAGGCACCAAGTGTACTAGGGCTGGCATCTGGAACAATACACAGCTAAAAATGTCATATTAAATTAAAATGTAATATATTTCCAAAGCATAAAGAGTACTTTATGAAACGTACCTGTACATAACGTTAACCTTCATGTCACAGAGCTTGAATTTCCACCAAACCGCACCAGCGGAGCTCAGGCTGCACTCCCGGTCATCAGATACATGCACGAAACAAACGTTTGACCTTTGAACTGCACCCCGACACTAACACAGAACCAGTGAAAGGACGCTAGCAGTCACAGTGATTGAGTGGTTCTGTCTGCTCGAGCAAGTAAGCAGCCTTGGTATTAGCATTCAGAACTACCTGAAAACAATCCAGGGCAGATTTACTAGTTGAGGAAAACAGCGATCGACAGAAATCCATACAGGACAAGACTGAGTACATCAACTTACACCATCTTACACCCCAAAAATCCCTCCATAAGCTTCAACTGGTTCAAAACTCTGCTGTTCGCATTATTATCAGAATCCCCTCCTACCAGCACATCACCCCTGTTCTTCAGGAACTTCACTGGCTCCCAGTGAAATTCAGGATAATATACAAACTTCTTCTGCTCACCTTCAAGACCCTTCATAACCTTGCTCCTCCTTACCTTTTTGATCTGTTAAGCACTACCTACCCGCTACTACTGCCCACTCACTTTGATCTTCTTCTTCTTCTTCTTCTTCTTCTATCTCGTGCCTTCTTTCCACCTCACCACAGTGGGAAGGAGAGCTTTCAGCTGCTCTACTCCCAGGCTGTGGAGCTCTCTACCCCCAGATTTAAGAAACATTGATTTCCTCCCCCTGTTTAAATCTTTAACTCAAAACCTATCTGTTCAAATCTGAATATTCACTGTGAACCCACTGTTTGTTTTTGTTTTTATTGTCCTTCATTTAGTCATTTCTAGTATATGTTTTATTCTATTGTTAAGTGTCCTTGGGTGTCTTGAAAGGCGCTTTTAAAATAATTTAAATAATAATAATAATAATAATAATAATAATTATTATTATTATTATTATTATTATTATTATTTTATACTTATTATTTTATACTTATTATTATTAATAATTATTATTATTATCACTATTGTTAATATCTATAGAAACTATATACCCTGGCAGCAGTCAGGCGGCCCGTTAGCATCAATAATAACCCGATCGATATATCAATGACTGATAAACATGTGTCAGAGTTGACTGTATGTCCACTGTGTTCGCTCATTATCTTCGTGCCGCTGTGACGGCTCGCCCTACTCTAACTTCAAGTTCCTCTTCATGTTGTAAGCCTGACTCATGCAGGTAATCAGTCCTTGTTACAGATGTCTGTGTTTATTTGTATGAAACATCTGGAAACATCGGCCTCACTGTGTGACTGCACATCTGATATTTCTGTTTCTCTGCTGAAGCAGCTTCATCACTCAAAACCACGAAGAGACAGCATGTGCTCACTTTAATCAGACGAGTCCATCAAGTGCTTAACCTCCACCCTCAAGGCTGAGTGTGCACACACACATACACACTAACACACACATACACACTAACACACACACTCCCCACTCATACATGAATAAGCTTGATGAGATGAGTCTGACCTCAACTCTGTGCTGAATGTATGAAGGTGCTGGAAGGAAACAGTTTGAATCATTAAATGATGGCAGTGAGCTCTGTGAACTCAGCCTCAACGGCCAGGCTGAACCAATGAAAATGCTGAAAATGTGTAGCAGGAAATAAAAAACCAAACAGGGACTGACGGACTGAAGGTGGCGATAAAACTGACCTACAGGAACAGGAGGCCTGATTCCAGCCTGAGATCTTCTCCCAGAGCTCGACTAACAGGTTCAGGTTCAAATGGTCATCAATCCAAACAAAGCTCTCGGATATTAATAAAATGACTGACCTGTAGTCTATGAAGAACATCCTCACGTAGCTCTTCCTGTTCTCCAGATGGCTCAGCACTCTCTGTGAAGGGCGATGGACCGATTTGCTCTGTAAGCAAACTACTACCCCTCCGTGGAGGGAGGGGGGTAAAGAGTCTCTGATGTACAGTTTTCGTCATATTTTCTCACCACTCTGGCTCTTTTCTTCTCACATTTTCATATTTGGAACTTTATTATATTAAGATAAACTTGATTTTTCTAACTGAGGGACAGGAACATATGCACTGTGAGTGCTTTTGAGGTGATGATGAGATTAAGCTTGACTGTCTTCAGATGCAGCTACTTCAATGGAGAAGCATAAATCCAGATGTTTAGAAGACCCGACCTGCACATGTGGAAAAATAGAGATTTCTTCTGTTTCAGAGTGTAAATATTTCCTGCAGCTGTGGGTTTGAAACTGTGCATAGCGTTATTTCTGATGATTCCTCTAAGTGTGTGGCACCTTTGCAGTATCAGTCACATGACCTAGCAGCTCTGTCTCAGGTCAGGTGCTGCCTCCATCAGTGGATTCAGCTCATACTCACGCAGATAAAAAAAAAAAACATCCAATCATGTGTGAGCATTTTCCCGGCAGTGCTTCCTTCTCAAGGACGCCTGGCCTGTAGTCGCTAAAGGGGGCAGGTGTGTGCGTGTGTGTGTGTGTGTGTGAAATGCTGACTGGCCCACTTTGAGCCTCTCTCACCTTTAAAGCCGGTGCTTACCAATCAAATGTGTAATTTGCACCTGTGAGTCTATGAGATTTCTCCCCATTAAGCTCATGAGCTGCTGATTTTATTGATTAGCTCCTCCTCTGGCTTGGCGGAAATCATGCTGAGGAGCCCTAACGAGGCCTAACAAGGGTGGCTCACCTGCACAGGGCGTCCGAGCGGCAGGTGCGCCGCAGCTCCAGACAGCTGGCTTTGTGCCTCTCCTGGTGTGAGCAGGACGGGACAATGGTGCGACGGCGACGCTCAGCACACGCCTGGTCCGGGCACGAGCAGAACAGCAGGGGGTAGCTCAGCTCCCATGACACCCGCTCGAAAAACTGTCGCAGGGCCTGAAACACACGACGCGAAGAAAAAGGTAAACAAGACGAGGAATGTGGTACAGGTGATTGAGTGCAGCGAAAAAGCTAAAAGCACTAAACTATTATTCCTTAATATGAGAAAAAGAAGCCTGCATTAACAGTATAGCACAGCCTGTTAAATAATAATATCACTTTCCTAAGTGCCGAGGGAGACAACCGCCTGGCCGGGACTGGTGTCTGCATTTATCTGGAATATAAACTAGGAATTCCCAAATTAGGAAAAAATATCTGGAAAGAGAAAAGTGGCAAAGTGGTCTGTTTCACTGAGGAGGGATCTGCAGCATCACTGGTCCCTTTGATTTAATCCTCACTAGCTTTACAACAAACCAGTGAGACTGGTGTCCACAGGTATCCACATGGTCGGGATGCTGAGTAAAATGTTAAAAAGAAATCTGAATGATTCAAAATGAGCTTAGATTTTTATTAAAACTGAATTTCCTCAGTTTAAACACGTGACAGGTTTTCTGTTTTATACTGAGAATAAATTCTAGATTTCTGAGATCACTGCATTCTCTATTTATTCACGTTTAATTCAGCATGAAAACTTTGTCAGGATTGGGGTTGTACACGGATAAAAGTTGTTCATGTCACACCTGCAGGAGGCCCTCAGCGTGAACCTCCTGGCACACAGCTTCTGTGCTGATGTTAATGCTGAAGGAGATCTGGAGCGCCGCAGTGACCCCAGTACTAACATAGCGTTCCACACATCTCACGGGTCTGAAACATCTGGGCTCAAAGATCAATAGGTCTAAATGTTTTTGTTAGAATCCCGGTGAAGGCCTAAACTTCTTTGGATGCAGCTCATTTGTTTTGCTTGTTAGACTTGTCAGAATTGTTTGCGGCTAGGGATGGGTACCGGTTCTGACATAAACGGTAGTAACCAGACCGAAAAGCAGCGCACATTTCGATGCTTTTTTTCCCCTGAGATGTCATACACTTCAGATTCTAGCCAATCATTTTACCTTTGCAAGCGTAGTAGGCGGGCCCAGGTACGTACGTTCTTTTAGAGCAGAGCTACAGATTAAAAATGCCCAAGGTAGGGTTTTTTTTTTATACAGCTTGTGAACTCACTGTCTGACCCATACTCCGGAACAGTAGGAGGCGGTAATGCTCCTTTACGTTGGTTGCCAACCGCTGTTAAACACAAAGAAGAAGAAGAAGAAAATGCCAGAGGCGAAGCGGTCAAAAGTCTGGCTGTACTTCACAGCAAAAGATGCAAACTCAGCAGCCTGCAACAAGTGCTTTAAGCTGATACTGTGCAAAGGAGGTAACTCCTCGAATCTGATGAAACACCTGGCGACGTATAGCATTTTGTTAAAAGCAGAGAAATGCACCGTATTTGATAGCTTGCTGCGAGACCTCACATCGAGCACATCTACTGCGGGTGTGGTGCCTGTTATCAGACCGGAGTTAGCAACATCCCCCAAAAACCCGAATAGGAGAGTCCTGGCCCCTAGCCCTGCCAGTGTAGCAGAAATCATGATGGATGATGATGCAGCAGCAGCCGTTCTTCTCTGCGTGAGTAGCTTAATGTTGTTCGTGTGCAAGCTAACCACGTTATTAAATTAATGCATGTAAGGTGAACTAGCAAACACCGTTGTAGTTCCATACGGCTGTCTTCTTGTTTGATGGCAGATACTCCCTTCACCCTGGCCAAAAAGGCTAAAATGACCAAAGGAAAAGTGGGAAACAGCTAAACATGAGAGGTTTTTGGACAAAGTTTGTGTTTTTTTTCCATTGTTTAAGCACTGCTTGCAACTAAGAATGATACCCTATAGCTGCAGAAAAGGCTAACATTGTTATCTTTTTACAAAAAAAACTGCTAAACATGAGAGGTTTTTGGACAAAGTTTGTGTTCTCCATTCTTTAAGCACCGTCACCGTTTCAAAAGTACCGGTTTGGTACTGGTATCGGATAAAACCTAAACGATACCCATCCCTAATTGCGGCATCATTTGAAGACATAAACTGTAGATAAAAGATGGACTTTGCCTGCAGTCTTTCTCATGTCCATCAGGGGGTGATTCCTCAGGTCTGACTGGATAGAAGTCTGTTCGAGAAGTCTGAGCGTCCTGTTCAACTGGTCTCTGAGCTCAGTTAACTGTTTCCTGTCAGGTGTGACTGAATCAAACAGGATGTTACCTTTTGCATTATTATAATTGCAGGGTCGTGACCTGAGGCAATACTGAAGCCAAAACCTGACGAGTCTAGAATTACTTCAGCTGTGATGTTTCCTGACACGCTCAGAGAGGCTGCTCTGGATCCTCACAGTAAAATCTGCTGCACTGAATCTGTGTTTGAGCATCTTCAGTGTCACTGACTCACAGTTGGTAAAAACTCCTCACTACTCTGAGCCGGGAGCAAAACTGGCAGTTTTTCTGCAGGTGTTTGGCTGTGGCCCGGTGATGAGGACACACAGACTTATTGGATTTTCCCAGGAGTCTGTGATCCATGGAGCCCAGGGGTGTTCATCTCAGCCTCGGAGCTGTGGAGCTGAATTTAGATGCTTTCTCAGGTGAAATATAACTGTATTAAAAAAGCATTTTAAATGCTGCACTTTTACTTGACTATTTTTAAAGATTTTATTCCAACAAACAGTTTGTGTAATTCTGCCACTGACGTAAAAGTGAAACCGAGGAGGAGGAACTTGAAACGTTAATAACCTTTTAGCCTTTAGAAAGCTTTTAGCATCACAGCCTGCGCAGCGCTGATACCATAACACCAGCTCTGCAGTCCAGGCGCTGTCACATCATCACCATCATCA